TGGCCTATAGCGACACAGTGGCGCTATAGGTCATAGCGCTACTTTCATAAATATTAAAATACTTAAAACGAAAAACAAAATATATATAAAATAAATAAATAACAGAAAATATTTTTATATAAATATAAATTTATATTAAATTGATAATATAAATTAAAATGTGAAAAAAACAAATTAAGTAAATAATTTAAAAAAAATGTTAAAATTAGTGGCGCTATAGCCTATATAGGACATAGCACCACTTTCATAAATATTAAAATACTTAAAATGAAAAACAAAATATATATAAAATAAATGATAAAATAAATTGAAGGAAAAATATGTTAAAAAAAACGCAGAAGAAAAAATAATAAATTGTAAAATTAATTTATTCAAGAAAAAATTGTAAAATAAATATGAAGAAAAAAAATTTTAAAAAAGGAGATCTAGGCCATAGCAACACTGCCTGAGATATTTTTGGCTATGTTTGTCTTTTCGCGACAGTTCACAATGCTTAATTTAAATTGTGCTTTTCAAAATCGAAAGTAAGTACTATCTAGCATTGGAAAATGTTAAAATGGAACCAAGACAAAGCCCTTTGTAGGAAAAGGTAACATCTAATTACAAATGTAAAATAAGGTTTCATATATGAAATTTTCACTATTTGACTTTAGTCACAAAAACAAAAGGCAGGAAAAAAGTTGGGTCTTTCAAAGATAAAACATATACTCGTTTCTTTTTTCTACGTTTTTTTTCATATTTTTTTCCTTTACTATTTTTTTCCTTTTAATATTTATCTTTTTTTTTTAATATTTTCTAGATTTTTTTTTTAATATTTATCCTTTACTAGAGTCGCTATGGGCCATAGCGACTTTGTGTCGTTATGGACCATAGCGACCTTATTTTTAAAATTTTTTTTTTCTCAATATATATATTTTACCCATTATTTCTTACAAAAATTTATTTTTTATTTCTTCTACGTTTTTTTACATTTTTAAAATACATTTTTTTAATAACAAAATTTTTATTATATAAAAGAAAATTGTATTTTTAAAATGTGGAAAGAGCCCATAGCGACATTAGTAAAATCGCTGCAGCCTGTAGCGATTTCTACTAGCTAAATTTAAGCCGTTTGTAGTTACCAAAAAAAAAATTTACACATGGCATTAGTGTCGCTATGGGTCATAGCGACACTGTAGTAAACTGCTCCAAAGGTGTAAATAGTTTCAAAACAGTCTCATTTATGTAATTAGTTTTAAAAACTACCCTAAATTGGTCAATCAGCCTGAAGGAGGAGAGACGATATCCTTTCGCACCCTCTTATCTTCTTTCGCACATTCCAAACTTTTTTTGTGAATAAATCTAATCTTTAATATAAAAAAAACTACTCTTTTGATCAAACATGTGTATAATACCTTGTATGAACTTCTTCTGTGAGCAAAATATGCCTGTAGCACTTTGATCGAAAACTACACTCTCAACTACAACTAACAAATCTAATAATTTTTTTATTTATTTTAAAAATATCAAATAAGGACTTAGAGATTAATAATATAAAAAAATTTAAATAAAAGATAAAATTTACTTAAAAACTCATGTAACCTTATTAAATGCATGTATTAATTTATTTTTATTAGTACACATCAAAAAAGCACTAAAATCCCTTCATCTTTAAGTGTATAGTAGCAACTTTCAGAAAAGAAAAAAATAAACTGGTGATGATGGAAGTATTTAACCAAATTTCAATGAAAACGCTGATGATGTTTTTCTAATGAAATTAGGTGTAAGTCAGCAACCAGAGGTCCCCAGAGCAGCACACCCACACACATAATTCAAATTTAAGTGACCCATGTTAGTCACACCATAACAAATAATTTCTCCATTTTTCTCTTTTGGAGCCAATCTCTGTCTGCTAGACTATCTTGTCTATGAACTTATCGGTTCACAAATTCCTCTAGAAGAATGCAAATATGATGCTGATCAGTAAACAATCATTCATTGCCTTTAACAAATATATTGTTCAGTCATACAGTTGTTACAAGAACTAGAACTCAATCAATGTCCCTAGACAATATATATTCTACAAATCATTCAAATTAAAACAAAACAAAAAAGTTAATTTTACTATAGTCACAATGTACAAAAACCGAAAGAGTATTATTGTATTAATTATTCATATGAATCATGATTTTGTAGATTTTTAACAGTAAAACAAATCTACCCTTAGAATCTTCCTCTATATCTAATCATCCTCATCATCTTTCTTGATGACTAATTTGAGAGGCTCAACCACTTTTTCATCCCCTCACTCAGTTTTAATATCAGATTTACCAAAGAAATGGTTTTCATAACTTAAAAGTTTCAATAGTACGAGGTTTGCTGTTTTAGATCAGACATTGTTTCTTGCATATATAGGCACTGCCCCTTCCAAACAATAATGTTATATGAACATTCATCTAATATAATTATCTCATCAATACTTTTTATTTTTATTTAGTTTTTTCTTTTTATATCACATCACATCACATGACATCGTGCATATATCTAAGTGTCATGTCTAGTAACATATTAGTGAAAGAGGCCTGCACTAAACCTGTACTTATTATCATGCATGGTAGAATAGCAATATACTGTCAATGTCACCAATATATCATAAATCGAAAATTGATTGTTGATGCAAGTACGAGCAACCGTTTGTGGTATGGTGTCACTAAACTAAGTAGTATAAAAAGCGTCAATTAATAATTATAAATTAAGTTACTACTTCCTAGTGAGTTGATTGTACCATTTTGCGTATCGTCACTACGGAAAATATTTTGCAACGAAAAAAGTTTAGACAGCGTAACTCTCTGGTCACTACTCACCATAAATCTAGTTTAGAGGTTAAACGACCATTGTAGTGCATTTTTAGAAATAATATATCAAAATGGGACTGTTTTGAAATATTTTACACCTTTGGGGCTGTTTTATTGGGTATCGCTATGGGCCATAGCGACACCCATGACACATGGCTTTTTTTTTTTTGCTTGATTAGGCTGGATCAGTGTCGCTAAAGGCTGGCCCACCACAGCTGATGGGCTTAAAAAAATTATGTTCAGCCATGGGCTGTGAGTATGGAAGACATACAATAGGAGTGTTGCGGGTTGCATCAATTGTCCCGTGGCGGAGGCTAGGTGGGCCAAGTCACTGTCGAATCATGGCGCTTGAGCTACTGCGCTCTTAAGTAAAAAGAGTTGCGCCCTAACTATCAGCTATAACTTTTAGTCTAGTGGTAAGCGCTCGATCCAACAATTGGTATCAGAGCCAAGATCATGAGTTCGATACCCAGCGGGGCAATTGCTGAGGGGGAGATTGTTGCGGGTTGCATCAATTGTCCCGTGGCGGAGGCTAGGTGGGCCAAGTCACTGTCGAATCATGGCGCTTGGGCTGCTGCGCTCTTAAGTAAAAAAAGTTGTGCCCTGACTATCAGCTATAGCTTTTGGTCTAGTGGTAAGCGCTTGATCCAACAAATTGTTGCGGGTTGCATCAATTGTCCCGTGGCGGAGGCTAGGTGGGCCAAGTCACTGTCGAATCATGGCGTTTGGGCTGCTGCACTCTTAAGTAAAAAGAGTTGCGCCCTGACTATTAGCTTTAGCTTTTGGCCTAGTGGTAAGCGCTCGATCCAACAATTGGTATCAGAGCCAAGGTCATGAGTTTGATACCCAGCGGGGCAATTGCTGAGGGGGAGATTGTTGCGGGTTGCATCAATTGTCCCGTGGCGGAGGCTAGGTGGGCCAAGTCACTGTCGAATCATGGCGCTTGGGCTGCTGCGCTCTTAAGTAAAAAGAGTTG